CATCAGTCCTCACAGCCAATCAATCACCCTTTCCTGTCCATTGTACAGTCTGTTCTGCTATAATACTCATTTTTTTTTAAAGATTTTATTTATTTATTTGAGAGAGAGAGAATGAGAGATAGAGAGCACGAGAGGGAAGAGGGTCAGAGGGAGAAGCAGACTCCCTGCCGAGCAGGGAGCCCGATGTGGGACTCGATCCCGGGACTCCAGGATCATGACCTGAGCCGAAGGCAGCCACCCAACCAACTGAGCCACCCAGGCGCCCTATAATACTCATTTTGAAAGAGAACATTCATTCCAATGCAGTCAATGTATTAGGAAACAGTTTAGCATAATGCAATTTTGCCTTTGTTTATGTGTGATTTTGTTCATCATCAATACCAGATAAACACAGGAAAGTATGCCCGGCTGAAGAGAGCTGAGTCAGAAGATGCAGAATGCACACATGCTTACACTTCAAACATACGTAGCTTCCTAGAACACTACATGTATCATAAGCCGCATCCATCTGGCTACAACTTTCCAACTGATTCCAGAGAACTCGCTTTCTACCACTTTGCAGTAACTCACAAGCTGCAACCTTTCTCATGCCCACTGCCAAGCAAACTTCAGGGTTTTTTCAAGGTAGAGTGCCATATTTATTGCACTATTTATGTATTTCTTAGCCTTTTAACGTGTAAAATTATGCTACCATTTTTTATTAGATTCCTATCTTTTTTTATATGTCACTGATGAAGTTTTTGAGAATTGTGTTTCTAACCCTATTTTTATTTCAACTTTTTATTATAACTTTTCATAGCATGGTGATTTTTAAGAAGGTCTACGTTGCATTGTAGCAGAACTGAATGTACCACTTAATACTCTAGAATTAATCCATTTCTCTACATTTCCACTGTTCTCAGTTCAATCCTGGTAACTATCATCTTTCACCTGGGCTGTAGCAGTGGTCTAATTCTGTGGTTCTCAACCAGGGACAGTACCTCCCCACTCCCACCCCTGTCTAGGCCCCTGGAAATGTACGTGCATATGGTGGGGACGGAGCATTTTCAATTGTCACAATGACTTGGAGAGAGGCACTACTAGCATTCAGTGAACGGGGGGACAAGAATGCTACAAGTTCAGCAATGTTGTCCATACAAGGATTCCTCCCACCCCAAGATGCCAACTATAGCCCCATTAAGAAAAACCAGTACTGATCCCCCCATATCAACACTCAGCTCTCTCTACACTGTAGCCAGAAAGAGCTTTTTCAAAATGCACATCAGATGACACCTCTCCCATGTTTAGTACCCTTCAACAGCTTCTCCTTATCCTAAGGATAAGGATCAAAATCTAAAGCGTGGCCTCCCCCTCCAGTTTCATCCCTCGCCACTCTCCTCTCTTCCCCACATTCACTATGCTCCAGGCAGTCATTCATTCAACAAAGAATGACTAAACCTCACTGTGTGCCAGGAACTACTCAAAGTGATGAGGACAGAACAGTGAACAGAGACAAAAATTCTCCACTCTTCATGGAACCTGCATTCTAGTTCCATGAAGCTGCCAGCCTTCTCCTTACCTCAGGGCCTTGCCACATACTTATCAGCCAATTCCTACTCATCCTTCAGATCTCAGCTTAGACACCCTTCCTCAGGGAACCATTCTCTGACCTTGCCCCCCTAAGTCAGGCCTCCTTATGAAATGATGCCATTACTCTGGACTACAATTAGAATTATTTAATATCCATCTTTTCTGTTATATCTCCAGGCCTAGTACAGTACCTGGAACACAGAGGGCACTCAAGAATACGTGTTTACTGATGAAGATGTGTATGTTTTTATATATATATCCATGTGTCTTCATGCTTTATAAATATGTATGTATAAACATTTGTGCCTGTGTATTTCCACATATTTCTGAAGGTGAATATGTGACTATATATTTACACCCATATGTATGAATGGAAACATACATACAACTTTGGATATGCCTACTTGGGTATATTCATTCACTTGAGTAAACACGTGTATATTCCTGCACCTGTGTGTGTGTGTGTGTGTGTGTGTTCTTCTGGCTCCTCAGTGACAGCTCTGACCTCCTGGAGGGAGCTGGGAGCAGGGCCCCATGTCTTCTCTAAGCTGACAGTTCAATAAGAGTGTAAGATCATTCAACGATACTCCAAATGTCAGCAAACACTGGCTTGCTCCACTCTGCTACAGGGGAAGTGGGTGGAGACAGGCGATGTGGCAGCCTGACCACTGAAAAGCTACTCTTCCCTGATGCAGTGCACACCATTTCTGGACAGGAGAGGCCTTAGGAAATGGGGATGGTGAATTCAGTCCCAGTTCACTCAATGGGCAAGTCTTGGCAGCCAAGCAGACCAAGATACCCCCGCCCCTACTTTTTCCATGGGCAAAGTTCTGCTTGCGGAGTTGAGGAGAAGAGGAAAAGGAGGTAAAGTAGGGAGGAAAGAGTAAGATCAAGGACAGGAGAGGGCCCTGGAGACAGCCAGGGCCTGGTCACACAGGGGGAAAGAAGGGCATAGAGTAAGACGTTACACAATACCCACGCAACCCTGGCAATGACCTCTCTGGCTTGCTTTTATTGTTACTCTTTTTAAGGGAGCGGGAATCTTTGTGCACCCTGCACTAAACCCACGCCGTAAAAAGGTCAGAAAGATCACCATGCCCCTGGACCTCTAGGGCCCTGCAGCCTCTCTGTCTTGAATGGCTGCTGGCAAAGACTGGCCCAAAGTCCGGAAGTGAGTCATCTCTCCTGCTGGGCCCTCAGGCGCATCTGGAACATGATGTGGCTGGAGGGCAGAGAGGAAGGGATTAGACCCCTCTAATGCCACTCGCCTCATGCCACTCTTGTTCTTCCTAGATCTGCTCAGTTTACCTACCAAGACGCAGTCACAAGGCCAACTGGGAACAAAGTCTCCAGTTTCCATTTGTACCCATTTCCCTCCTATGGCTTGGCACAGTCTGGCAGAGAACCACGCTGAACAGGCTCAGGACAGCTTGCCTCCAACCCCAGTAGCATCAAGGTAGCCTTGGGTGGCAATGTTAACACACGGGTCGGCTCTGCCAAGGAACCTGGAGGCAGGGAGCTAGCCAGACACCAAAAAGTCTAGCGAACTTCACAGAGCAACTGTTCATGGTCAGCGCCTGCCTCGCCTGGCCGGGCCTTCACATTACATTTGCTAAGGCCAGCAAGCAGCCTCAGATGCACTCTGACAGCTGACATGCTGTCTTCCGGGAGCGCAGACCTAGCCACACCCTCGTGCAGAGCCCCACCAAGCCCTGCGTGAGGCCTGTGGAGCCAGCTCTCAAAGACCAGTCAGCCAGCCAGCCAGCCACAATTCACTGAGCACATACTCTGTTCTCAGCCCTGATCTGGCCACCTCAGACACAGAGAGGAACCAGCCTCAGTCTCCGTGCTCCAGACGGACAGGTCTGTGAGGAAACAGATTGGGACTCGTTTCAACGCTCAAAGATCACTGATATCCAAAGGGTCGAGGAGTCTCAAGACAAGAGACTGACTGCTGACTTTGTCAGAAGAGGTGATACCTGAGCTGAATCCTCAAGAAGAGCAAATGTGCCTTATGAAGATGACTGGGGGACACTTCAGACAGAGGTAAGGCCACAGGCCAAGACCTGGAGGAAGGACAGAGCCTGGCCCCCTCAGCCAAAGATGGAAGGTAGTAAGTAGCTACTGCTCAGGTCCAAGGGAGATCAGCTGGAGAGGTGGGTAAGGATCAAAGTACAAACAGGCCAAGGACCACGTGTAAAGAACCTGAGTACCAGGGGAAAGCAAAGGAGTTCACAAATGTCGCCATAAAGAATGGCTGCCCTGAGACTGACGGAACAACGTCCAAAGTCATTCTCCTCTACTGTTCCTCCACATGTTCACTTAGCTCCAGCCCATACACACACCAAAAGCATGCTGCTCCCCTGGAAAGTCTTCTCTCCTCTTCAGATTCATATTCCACCTTCCTTGAATACCCAGTTCACGAGCCAAATCCTCACAATATCCTTCAATGACGGCTCTCTTCTCTAAGTCCCCCTGGGAGCCACTACTCTGACCCCTGGTGTGTTCTCTCTTCTCTGATTTCCTGGGCGTCACTAAGCTGATGAGCGGCATGGGGTTCTTAAGGTTGCTCAAGGGCTGTTGCCCTTACATCAGAATTATGGGGGTGAGTCTCTCTAGCGGACTGGGCCTCCTGGAGGAATGATCGCAACAGAGGGATAGGAAGGATCTCTATCTTGAGAGTCTATTCCTGTACCTCCTTTCTTCTGCTTACCTAGGAAGTATAGCACACACACTAGCAAAGTACAGTTTTCTGGGTAATTCATTCTCTGCCAGGCCCCAATTTCATAGCCACATGGGGTCCCTCCCAGCCCACAGCCCCAGCACCCACTCCCCAGGTACTTGGTGCTGCATTAGGGCCAGTCTCCTTCCTCATACTCAAAGGGAATTGGGCTCTAGTTTCCATGGTCCTTGTCACATGAGCAAGGCTCTGCTGGGGCGAGGCAGGACCAAAGCCAGCCTGAACCAATTCTACCTCCCAACCAGAGGGTGATACCAGAGCCACTCAGGACGGTCAGAGGCCACACTCATGATCACATCAAAGAAGGATACTTTTCCAGAGGCTCAGCTAGTGCCACATCTCTCCTAAAGACAATGCAGCTCAGCCCAGTGATTTAGTTCTGAGCAAGAACCTAGAAAGTCCCCTTCATTGGGACTTCTCTGCACATCTGGAGGACACTACATTGTATAATGTTATACTCTACCCTGCAGCCTGGTCCCCAAGCAGCTCCTCACTCCCAGAAAGGTCCAAACCCTTCCAGTGCATGTTAGCTAGGGAAGAGGAAGGAGGGATGTTGAGAAAAGAGAACAAAAAGAAAAGGAAAGAGATGACAACAAAAAGAGAACAGAGATGAATAAAGAAAGCAAGGGGGGAGGGGATCTGAGGACAGGAGACCCAGAGGAAGCACCCGAATGGGGCTCAGACACAGTACCTTTTTCAGATTAATCCACTGCTTGAAGTAATCCGCCACTGGCAAGCCCAAGTACTGGCACTGGCCTGGGAGCCTACAAGAAAGGGAAAAGAGAACAAGTTGGGAACACCCATGTCCCAGGTATGAAGTCTGAATCTAGGAAATGCAAACACACCTCCTCAGAAGGCTAATCCATTAGCCATGGGTCCCACCCTGCCCAAGAAAGGCACCCCACCTCTAGCACCCTGGACACTGGGTTCCAGATCTAAATGTGAGCACCTGGAGCCTCTATTCGAAGTAACACCAGCAGCTACTATTTTCTGATGGCCTGCCAAATGCTAAGGATCTTACTTGCATTGGCATGTGATTCCTCAGCACGATGCTGGGAGGCATTGTTGCCTACCTTTTACAGATGAGAAAATGAAATTCAGAGGGGTCACCGAAAGTCCCACAGCTAAAAACTGACAGTGCCAAGAACTGAACCCAGGTCTATCTCTCCCCAAAGCCTACGTTCTTTCCAATGCACCAGTTTGTAGTTGTTTTGTTACAGCAGAGAGGCAGGGATCTAAGACGGGAGGAGAGAGAGAGGAGCATGTGAGTTGGTGATAGCTGGGCAGGGGCTCCAGTTCACATTTAGGTCTCTAGCAAGAGGTTTTCTGCTGATAGAGAAGAAACCATGCAAAAGGATAAAAGGTCAGAATTTAAGCCAAAAGCCCTTTCTTATTATTTATAAATGGTCTTTCCCTCTAAATAGGATGTCGTACCCGCATAAATCCATTCAACCACACATTTACTGAAGTTTAATAATAGACAGGCACTTAGGGCTCAAAACGTTAAGACTTAGCCCCTGCCTCCAAGGGGTTCACAATTTGTTCAATGGGGTGGACAATAAAAGAAATAGACTAAACAGCCTTAAGTTGGAGCACTGGGATACATGGAAACATGGAGTAAAATACCAGAAATAGTAGCTGTGAAAGAACATAGAACTTCCTTGCTAAGAGAAGAGCTTGGCCATAGGCAATGGAGAGCCTCTGAAGAGCTGTGATTTACAAAGATTTATCTGGGGACGACAAAAACAATACCCCGAAAAAGCTGGGTAGTAGCCCAAAGCTAGACAAAGGCTGTAGAAATAACAAGCAAGGAACAGACATGAGATGTGAAGGAGGCCCTGGCAACCAAATGGGATGGGGGGGCCCAATGAGAGGAAGCGGTAGAGCCCAATTCAAAGGTCTGTGGCTTGGCTAGCTTCATGTTACTCCCTGAGTCAGACACAGACAGGGAGGCAGGGGCACAGAGAGGGTATCGGACACCCAGAGCAAAACAGTATTTAGTCAATTTTATGACTGTTTTTAAATTCTCTGCCCAAATCACAGTGGACTGCTCACTGCCTCACCCCTGGGTGCACCACTGGAAGGAGGCACAAGTTTGGGAATGCAGTTTTACGTACATGCATGGTACATGGTGGGCACTCAATGTCTGCTAAGTTCAAAGTGCCTAGGAGACATGTGGCAGGGGAATGATATCTACAGAGGCGGCTGCATATCCAGTTTTGAGCAGAGGTCTGGACTGGAGATATAAACTGCTAAATCATTAATGTAATTTAAATGAAATTAAAGCCACAAGAGTAGATCAACAGGGAAGAGTATGGAATGAGATGAGCAGAAGGCCCAGGCTAATGTCTCGGAAGTGTTACTGAGCAAGAATGAAATTAGGGCACCCCTATAAGACCATCGCCACACACACGGAATTCACTACTTTATGTGGCAATCAGCCCTAGTTTTGGACTCCTTCAATTCTAGAATATCCTTTCTTAATACTAAACTAAAATCTGTCTCTCTGTGAGTCTTTAGAAACTAGAGAGTGAGATTTCCATCTCTTCCTTGCAGAATACTCCCAAGACCTGAGGGCCCAGGAAGCTTTCCCCAGAGGTCCCTTCTCATCTCCTTCCAGAATTCCATAGGAGATAATGTACCAGGAGTCAGGACTCACCCAACCTACCTTCATTCCTAGAGGGCAGAGCTCCTGGACCTTTTTCAGGGTATCAGATACCCAGAGTCACACATGCTCTTTTGGCCTCACTTTATATCAACCTGTGGTTAACCTAAACAACCTAAAAGCACACTTCCCCTTTCTGGAATATATACAACCGGTTTTTGAGCTTAAATTACAGGTCATTAGTGTCAAATGCCACGGAGTGGTCAAGCAAAATGACAGCTGAGAAAAACCCAATGGATTTGGCATCAGTGGGTTGGTGGGAGCAGAAGGCAACATGCAACGTGTCAAACAGTGAGTAAGAGATAAGAAAGTGGAGACCACAGTATAAACTCCTTTTTGAGGAAGTCTGGTAGTAAGAATCCAGTTAAGGTGATTGGTTCCACCCCAGAAAGTTCCAGGGTAGTCCAGCCTCCCCTCCATTACTCCATTATTTGACAGACACTGAGAGGAAACTGTTACCCATGTTTCAGGCAGTACACTAAGAATTTACTTTTCTAAGACCTGAGATACCTTACTTGAAGGGGAGGGTCCTCTCAAATATTCAGGTGGCACAGGGACATTAATTACAACCAGTCAATTTCCCAGAAGGGAAGTTCTGGCTGAGACCACGATGAAGGAGTATCCAGGTAACTAACACGTCCCCATGAGGGAACCAAGGACCAAGAATATAAGGATACTAGGCAAGGTTTTGAAGGCTGAAAGATAGCCTTAGGAGCTACCATGTGGTTGCTTAAGGAGAACTGTATTTTTTGGATAATTTTCTTATTTCCTTCCATTTTTCTTTCATGTTCCTTACCCTTGTTATTTGTGAAAATGCTTGCTGAGCTCAGGTATTGTTGAAAAACCACATTAAGGTCTGTGAGTGAAGGGGCCACCAGAAGCAGCAGAATCTGCAAAGAAACAGGTCAGGGGGACTGGCCAGCAAAAGGCAGGGGTCCTGGGCCACCTACCATATTCTCCCTTAGCCATTCCCAGTTTCTTTTAGATGACACGGACCAGAAGTCCTATTGGCTGTGGCTAACTCTGGTCGGGGGCACAGGGTGGGGGTGGGGTGGGGCAGGTGGCGGCTCCCTTTTCAGCAAGATTTCAAAGGTAGACATTTCTACCCAGGTAGGAAGGGTCTGGCACAGTAGAATCCTACCTGATCCTCTCGGAGGAAGACCTATACCAGAGGGGCCACATCAAAGACAGACTAGACAGACCATCAGGCGGGTTGGTCAGCCTCAAGACACGGCTCAGCAGCAGCCCTGAGTGCTATCTGGACCCCGTGGCTGACTGAAGCAGAGGAAGGCAGGACTATAATTCTCACTCAGGCTCTAGGACTTGCAGGTATACATGCAGTTTGCAGACTCACAGGCATTCAGGTTGCTGAGTCCTCCAGTCTGCGGCTGGTCCTAGCCCTGTGTCTCCAAGACACAAGCAGTCGAGATGCGGCAGGGTCCAGGCCCATCTTCACAAGAGACACAGAGCCAAATGCCAGAACTTGAACTTCCAGGTGCCTCATGGGAAGACAGCTACACATTTCTATGACAGAACCCTCCCCAGCTCAGAGAGCACCAAGAGAAACTATGAGAAAGGTAGGTCAGAGTAGTTGTCATCCCCTACATAAAAAAGGAAAGTGATGCCCAGAGAAGAAAAAGGATTTGCTCGATCACACAACAAGCCAAGGGGAGAACGAGAAGTAGGATCTCAGCCTTCCGACTGCACAAGGCATCAGTCATGCACAGGCACTCGGAGTTCTTTACAGCCCCTGGGAAGGCAAGGGCTGGGGCCTTAGAGAGGCAGGTAGCATGGTAAGCATGGTGGTTACTGCTCAAGGTCTCACCTGGCTCCAGGGTTCTTAGGAGGCTAAGGCTAGGGTCCGTGAGTACCAGGGGGTACATGGTTCCACCAATTTGGAAAGGAAGAGGGCAAAAGTCTCCCTGACACAAAAGGTCTGAATGCTGTGAGTTCCCACCAGGAAAAGAGCCACTGGCAGTGGGCCCTGGACTAGCCTGCGGGCATGAACGTGCAGGCAGGTTTATGGTGCCCAGGTCTCCGTGCAGCTGGAATCACTGGGCACAGAGCTCCTCAACTGCCCAAACATCATCTGGCCATGCTTATTACTGCTGCCCAATGAAATTTTATGCACCGAGTCCACAGGTGTGATTTCCCCTTCTTTATGAGGGTCGGAATGACATCACTGATGGCCAATAGAAAAGAGCCAATTATGTCCAGGCCATAAAAAGGAATGAGATTTTTTCAACCAAATCAAAACTTCCTTCAGCTTCATGAATGCAAGGGGCCCCCTTTAAGGAAGGGCCCCCCCAGTCTTGCGTGGGCTCTAAATCGAGGGATTACAATCGCTTTCCAAATACTGTGGGGCCTAGGGCTGGAGAGGGACTCCGCCTTCAGCGTTTACCATGTGACGCTGCTCCTATCACACTGGGCCCTAGGGTCTTCAGCAGAGAACATCAAACCCTCCTCAAAGATGCCTGACTAGCCCCTCACTACTTCTAACTCTAGGCAGGAGTTAGAAAAGATGGGGTATTCCTCAAGTTCCCTTATTACTCCTTCCAAATAACAAAAAAGAAAGCAGAGAACCCTCCCCCACTTAGAAAGAACAGTGTGGGAAGAGGAGGAGGGATACAAGAAACTGCCCCCTCCAACAAGCGGAGGGCACAAAACATAAGGAACCCGGCCCTCCCCACACACCCCTCATCCAGCCCCACCACCTGCAGCCCAGTGCTGGGGCTGGGCCCAGACAGCCCTGATGGCAAACAGGTGTGACCAGCTCGGCGCCAGCCAAGGCAGGGGACTAGCTCATTAAGGGAACACCACCCTCGCTAATGGGTAGGGGCAGGATGAAGCCATTGTGAACAGGAGCTCAGCTTTGAAGATTAGGTGACGCAGATCTGGGGGGCTCTGCTAGAACTGCTAGGCTTGAGTTGAGGAGGCCAGCAGCATCCATGGAGGTCTGACAGATAGACTGGCAGACACCAACAGCCAGGACCAGCAGGAGCGCAGGCACCAGCGCTGGGAAAGGTTATGCATGCAATTCCTTCTGTGCTTTTCTCATTCTCTCTAAGTCTTAGCGGCAACTCCAAATCAGGGAGATAC